CCTGCTGTGAAATTTAAGTCAGCCTCTTCTCCAACTAATTGAGGACAATGCATGAACCTGCTTCACCTTTCTTAATCCAAGAAATAATTCTTACTCAAATTCTGAAAGAGATATATAGCCATTCACTTTGGGTAATGATGTATAGACCACTCAATTGTAGTAGGCATTAAAAGAAAGCTTTGTTCCTTAAAAAGTTTAGCATACTAAAACAATTAACTTGAAAATAAAATAAATTTGCTAAGAGTGCACTTCCACTTACACAGACTAAAGTAGTCACAGATTTATATCACTGCACACTGGAAAGATTAAAAATGCTCCATTTCTGAAAGTGTTAGGCCACTAAATTTTCCAGGAGTAAGAGTATCTGAGCAGTCACACACATCATTAATATTCAACAAAAGTGTTCCCTAATGAAAACACAATTACCTTACTTAGTACTTTTATGAGGGTTCACAAATATGGTACAGCAAGCAATTACATCGACAAAACTTTCCATACCCACTGTGCCTGAAAAACTGAGACATACCTGATTATTGCTTTTTGGGGGAGAGTTCGTCTGAGCTGTGTTTGCAGAAAGGGAATCAAAAAAGGCTTGGTCAGCTAACGAGTTATGGCAGCTAATTCCATCTTTTGCACCTTCAGTTATTATCTGAAATAGAAAAAGTTGCAAAAGATTTTTCATTCTTTCATTAATGAAATTATGCTTTATCATATATAACAACCCTAACATTCATACCACTAGTAAAATGTTTGTATACAACCTTTCTGAATACAAGTTCAGTAGAAAAAAAGATACTGATGTGATATTCTGGAGGATTCACTTCCACACCAGATGGAACTAACACATAAGACTGTTGTAGCAGGGGACACCTATCTGTAAATTCCTTAGGGATTAACAAGGTTGTTAACATTACTACTTGGAGACTAGGAACTCAATACTCAGAGGATAAGTTTGGGACAGTAAGTTCAAAGAGCCAAAAGCTACTAGATCATGAGCTAGCAAACTGAAGTAAAAACACAAAGTCATGAGACCCAGCATGGTCCTGATCCCCTCATCCCAACCCCTCCGCTCCTTTTTTTTTTTGGGTTTTTTTTTTGTTTTTTTAAATAAACACAGCAGTGGGAAAGGAAGGGAGTCACATGCCTTAAGAGGCTGCAGGAATTACAGCCAGAGTCTTCACCTAACTGGCAACCTGCAGTCACAGAGACACCAGGCCATCCAAGAGTGACTAGAGTCCAGTCCTGGCACTGAGATCCCCATTCCATCCCCAGTCCAATACCCCCAGCCTTTAAGCAAAAATCAACACACACTGAAGAGACAGCAAAGGCCCTCAGTAAAAAGCTGAGTAGTCCCTGGATTTGGGATCCCATATCCTGAGCCTCAGAAATACAGCTCCAATCCAGAGATTTACGAGTGTCTGACAGATGTGCCACAGCAACACTGGTATAAACTTGCATTACTAAATCCACTTCCTTATTTGTATCTTCAGACAGGATAAGAAAACCATCACAGGATTATGAGACCCCCCCCAAAACCAGAAGCAGATTTAAACCAGTTAATATTCAACAGATCACCAGTATTTACCATAGTCAACTTTGTGTTGAGACCACCAGTACTTATTACAGACAACTGCTGCATTTCTTTGGAAGCCACTAAGAAACACAGTAGCTTTGGATGGCATGGTTGCACTGGTCTCCAAAGCCAGCTACAGTTTCTACAATAAGATGATATATTCCAAGCTTTAACACTGGGACTTTTACATTTGAACTGTTTAGTCTGATCAACAAACAAGAGGATGACCTTTTCTGCCTTCTTAGTGTAGAGCAGTGTAGTCACTTACCTCAACATAATCTGTTGGAACAAGTCCCCTCTCACCTTGGCTGTTTTTTCCTTCTAACCAGCCTCCACCGACATCCTAAAAGAAGTAATATAGAAATAATTGATCCCACAACATGCATCAAACAGCTCAGGAGGAAGCCCTGCCCAAACAAGAGGATGACCTTTTCTGCCTTCTTAGTGTAGAGCAGTGTAGTCACTTACCTCAACATAATCTGTTGGAACAAGTCCCCTCTCACCTTGGCTGTTTTTTCCTTCTAACCAGCCTCCACCGACATCCTAAAAGAAGTAATATAGAAATAATTGATCCCACAACATGCATCAAACAGCTCAGGAGGAAGCCCTGCCTTGTTGTCAAATGCACAAAACAGTTTACCTCAACATAATCTGTTGGAACAAGTCCCCTCTCACCTTGGCTGTTTTTTCCTTCTAACCAGCCTCCACCGACATCCTAAAAGAAGTAATATAGAAATAATTGATCCCACAACATGCATCAAACAGCTCAGGAGGAAGCCCTGCCTTGTTGTCAAATGCAATGTTCAAAACACAGTTACGACTGTATAACCGTGAACAAACTCACTTAAATCTGCTGAAGCAGCAGATACTCCTTTAAACAGAATGCAGACTGTGCTTGTTTCACACAGATATTGTGGACCTTAGATTTTAACAAGCATGAGGGAAGGGAAAATGTTGATTTTTCAGCAGTTTTGGTCATTTATGAAACCACAGTCAACTGTCTGGACACAGACTGCATAAAAATACAGCTATTAGTATGTCAATCTCAAAGCACTAATTTTAATCAATAGACTATAAAGAAATGAGACTCAAAGAATTAAACTCTTGGTAATATCTGGCAAAATCTCTGCTTCATTTATTGAAGATGCAGAGATGTGTGATCAGTGAGAGCTATGACCCACAAAAATATTATGGGTATTCTCAAGATTAAGAAAACCACATGCCCTTCTACTTTACATTTCTTTTCAGAGGCAGGTAACAGTTTAGAATGCTAATAGTTTAGAAAGAACTAACACAGTTCTGATCTCAGTGGGGCACCCTGATATTGTTTGATTTTTTAAAACATATATTCTACATACACTAAGAAACCTCTGCAGACCTTTGCAGTTATGGAAAGTTAATTCCAGGGCAATGTTATCTGGAAGGACCCAGTCCTATTTTAAATCAAGCTGTTTGAGGAACAAAAAGTTACATGTCAAGCTAGCTCACAGATGAAAACTGGAACCACATATGCTAGACTGAATTTTATGTTTCCATAATTTCTTTTTTAATGGATGTATTTGTTTATTCACAATTTTGTTCTTTCACTTGGAAATTTTATTTAATCCTGCACACAATAAGGAGAAACCTGCTTATGTATTCAAGAAATTAAACAGTAAAGATGAATAAGTTATTGAAATAACAACTTCCATTTACTTTTTCTTATGTACTTAAAAGCTTAACACTCAAGAACACAATAATAACTAGACATCTCGGATTATAAATTCAACTAGCTTGGTTAAACTGAAAAAGCAATGACATCTTGAGCCAGAAATCATATTTGCACTGCTACACTTAAATGCAAAAGCAATCATCAATGGACTTGCCTGACTTATGCTATTGCTGTCTAAACTTATCATATCAAAAAAAAGATCAAGAACCTTTGTGGCAATCTATCATGGACAGCACAAAATAAAGTTTTACTTGGTTTTAATTATACTGCCTTAATCCATAAATGTCTTGTTCAGTGATAACTAGCTTAAAAGTGGTGAACTATTTAGATTTAGTCTTACATCTGTGAAACGGCACTAAGCTCCAGAACTCATTTGTAATGCTGCCTCTGCTACAGCACTGCATACTATCCAAGATGGTGCTGGTACTATTAAATATCTGCTTCAAATATTTAAGATCAGTGGAACTAAAAATTATTAGGATTACACATCCCTAGGCTCCTCAAAGCATTAGTTTATTCTGCAGAACAAACCCGTGTTTCCTGTACAACCAGATAAATAAAACCTGGCTTCAAGATCAGGTGTTTTTTGCCTGTATGTGTTTAAAAAGGAAAGTCTATTCACTGAGCCATATCACTACACATAAATCAAAAGCAGAATCAACTAACCCCTTGTTACCAAGGGTAAGAATTATATAGGACAATAAAAGTGCACTCAAATTCAAAATATACACATACATGTCAGTGCTCAAAAGTACTACTCATTTAACAACTCCTTGATAGCATTACCATAGTATTTTTCACCACTTCTTGCCTGTACTCTGTTGATATGTCTTTTATTACAAATGGACACACCAATTTATTAACAGACCTGGAATTCTGAAGTAATTGATTAAGAAACTCAAAACCTAGAAGGGAGCTGAATTGTCACATTTAATGTGTGACAGACATTCAGCTGTAAAAGCTAATCACCATCATTAGCTCCATCCTCTTCCTTGACACACAGCTGTTTAGAGGGAAAGCTGAGAATATTCTGGCACGTGCAGGCACAGTTTGAGAGGGTCCCATCCTCCAAAACACTCATTGCATTTGTTTCCACAAAACTATTACAAAATTCTTTGTATTTAGTTTATTTGCCAATTCTTCAGGAAAGGGTAGGCAGGGCTTTCAGATCACCTAGCATCTTTTCTTTTTCCATCTGCTAGAAGTAGGTCAGTGCACTGAAGCCCTGAATCTATCTCAAGTTTTCTTACCGGGTTGGTAATTATGATGATCTCTCCTTCACTGACAGTCAGCTCGTTGTTTCCAGGCTCAGCAGCAAAATCATACATAACACGAGCCTGTATGTGGGAAAGAATGTAACAGTGAGCCTTCCAGCTTATTTAGAAGATTTCATGAAGGAAGTAACAGCACAACTTATTCTTAACTAACAGAAATAATAAATGGGCTAAGGCCGAACATATAAAGAGCAACTGAGCATGTAGGAAGCTAAAAACTCCTAGATTTGAACTACAAACCGAAAAGTAACAAAAACTTTCTAAGATAAAAATCTCATGTGGAGTTTTTTGGAAATAATTTTCCAGAAGGATTCACAGTTTAAGACTGGTTGTTCTCTGCCATGTCCAGAACTCTGTACAACTTTTTCCAGGTGAAGAAGGAAAGGCTTCTAAGTTCAGCAAACAATCCAATTAATATTTTTTTCTGCAAGATATATTTCAATTCCAATTTGGGCAAAGGGAACTGTTTCACAGAACCAGCAACTCAGAAAAACAAGTAACTGCAGATGTAAGTAACCACTGCTGTACATAAAAAGTAGTATGGAAAATTATGTTTTGAGACTCTACACAGGAGGAACTATGCAAATGCACAAACACTAAGAGTAGGCCTGATACACGTTGGCACAAGCAGGGAAGGAAAACCAAAAGCAACCTAATTTTTAAGTGTTTAGATACACAGAGGCTTTGCCATGTACTGAATCTGCTACTACAGGATATAAAGAAATGTTATGTTTGAAACACTGACAAATTTGTCTAACAATAACATCAGGCACTTCTAGCAATGAGTTCCTTTTTGTACTTAGAGGTCAGGGGAAGAAAAAAACTAAACAGAAAGTAATTGTTTCTGACAAAGATGACAATAATATAATCATTATTGCTGAAAGCAAGTTATGTGACAGGGAAAAAAAACCACCAGAAGACAGAGATTCACCATCAAGTCTTGCCTGTCTTAAAACGAGGTTGTTATGATCCCTACCTGGACATTCCTTCTTCTGACATAAACTCAGAAAAAAACAGAACTTCCCACCCCCACATTTTAATTTCATGAGCATCATGTGGAAATACTTCTGTCTGATCAAGAGATACTTGACTTCAGTGTAAATAAAAACAGAGCTGAGAAAAAACACATATGTTGTAGTTCAGCTGACAAAGCTAGTCCTGAACCACGTGCACAGCAAAACAAACACTTGGTCTTCTCCGCTAAAGCAGCACAACATTGCAGAAAACCATGTGTCCCAAGCACTCTGAATGCTTCCTTGCATGAAAGCTTTTCCTTTAGAATGAAGGCTTTCAGCACTCTGAGATTATGCCATGCAAAACTGAGATGGAGAAAACTGTTCAATAATAATGCTGACTGCTTTCATTCCAGCAGCACATCCAGCACACACCCATGCAAATATAAGAATCAGCTGCCTTACTTTCTTTAAACAGTAAGCTGAAGAGAAGCAACACCTTTTGAAATACAAGAACACTTTAAGCAGGGGTGTAAAAAGCACCACTCCCCAGACCTCTACCCTCAGCAGTAGCAGAGGAAGGTGTTGAACATGTCCTTTTTACAGCAGGTTATCCAGTTTCTCCAAGTCAATTTAACAACACTCAGATCCGAGGCATGTGAATCCTAAGGAAAGCATCTGTCTTAACCAGAGCATCTTCTTAGTCTTGTTCAAGTAGTATACCATAGTAAGTTCTCATTTCTATTCACAAGAATGATGAGAGTTTACTAGGTCAAAGGCAGCAGGCAAATTTTACCAACCTTCAGAAAAACTGGCAAAACATCCCACAGTAATGACAGGACTGGAAAGGTAAGATATATTTCTCTCTAATAAAAGAACAGATGCAAATACTAGATCCTCCAGATACAGGAGGGAAATAAAGTTACTCAGAAAAAAAAAATCTGGGAGTATTCAGCTTGTAGGGAAGGAAAAGCTAAGAGAGATACATAGAATTTAATAAGGTCACAGTGCCAAAGTCAATCTATTCATCTGCTTTGGATATCTGTTTCAAAAGCTGCTAAAAAAAAAAAGGGGGGGGGGAATTACAGACAAACCTTCCTTACTGCAGTTTAAGAAATTGAAAATTAAAAAAAAGATTGGCAATACTACAGAAATGGATTATTACAGATCATTAAGAATTTGAGGCACATTTGTAACCTGATCCATGTATCGACATCTCAAATACATTCCCTGGCTTTTCTGCTGATACTCTCCATTTCACTAGCATTTCTATGCTGGGAATTAAGTCCCTAAGAACTTCTGGTGATTAAGCTTTAACACTACCCTCCTACCGTTGAGATTTAGTGAGGAAAATAGTATAAACCCAACCTATTCCAAAGTAAGTAAAACTAAGTGACAAAATGCTTTCCCACAATTAATAAGGGTATTGTTAACAATGGAATAACCTCTCACCTTTCCTTGGGCAGAGGCATCAGCCCCAATCTTACTTAAACTTCTGACAACCAGTTCCAAAGCACTCTAAAATGGAAAACAGTTCTGTTTTGCTAAAGGCCTTTTCCTACTTACTGGCCCCAAACATTATATCCAAGCAGCAGTTAAGGCTTAGAGATAGATCTTTGCAACTTACGCAAAACAGCAAATGAGCATGGAGAAAAGCAGTTAACAAGTAAAGGATTTTTACTCCTCCGCACTGCAATACACGCATTGCCTATTATGTCTATGGTATTTTTACTCCTCCGCACTGCAATACATGCATTGCCTATTATGTCTACGCTTAGGGACATTTTGAGTATTTATAAAATGGGAATCTCTCATGAATTCCATACCACAGAATGGACACCACAAAGACAAGATCTTCAAAACACAGGTTTAAAAAATAAAATACGTTACATTAACTGTTGTGAGTCATATTTACGTCTGATATAAAAGAATCGAACAATCCAAGAACTTCAGGAACTTCAGAGATGCAAACATTTCGTTAGTGGAATAGAGGCCATTGCTTCATTTACAGAATACTGCAAACATGCAAAACAAGTAACAACCATTAATCAATTTATTAGCTATAAGAAAATTAAGTCTTTTACTGGCTACATTTCTCCTCTCTCCCCCACTCCAAGATACAAATGGTTCTGAATTCTGAAGTTTTGTCAGTTCCTTTGAAAAAAACACCAACATGCTAACCCAAAAAGTTTAAATGGATTTCACTAAGCAGAAAGCAGGGCCTGGTCGTTGTACTGCATACCTACTGCCCTCCCTTCGCTCAGGTGGATGTGGAGCTTCCCACACCTCCCCTGGCAGTTTGTAACACATCTTGATGTTCATCTCATGCTGTCTCTTGTGAGAAAAGGCTGGCATGGATTAAGCAGAACCCCATCACAACACATGCCAAGAAGGAAAGGGCTCTATGATCCCCAGCAGCTCGGTGGCTCTGCTGTATATAACAGTTTTTCCAGAATGAAATGGAGTCAGCGGTTTTCTCTGTAAGTTGAAGATGGGGGAAACCTGTAAGAATTCCTCCTTATTGAAGAAAAATTAGCTTTTCAGCAGTATAGATATATATATTTAGATTGCAATAAAGAGAAGAAAATAGAAAGGAAAGAGCTAATTCTCAGTGTCACATTACCATTCTTTGGAGCTGGTTCTACCTGCTGCAGTTACACGACTGGACTGCAGTTTCCCAATTTACAGATTTACTGACTTATCAGTGTGAAGCCTCTCAACACCTAGAAGGTCTAAGCAGTGCAATCAATCACTATTACTATCTTTTTAGATTTATAATAGTAATCATGCCTAAGCATATGAAACACAAAATATTCCTGGGAGCAGACTTAGTTTTCCTCCATTAATTACTTCTGCCTGAGTTGAGTACCTCCCCCTTCTTTCCACAGTATTAAAAGCAAAACCAACAAAACCCAAGAGCATTTGCCAACTTATTTCTGAAAGTACACACAAGACCAATGCAACTATACCTGTCAGTGTGTCAAGACTCTTTAGCATAAATGGCCTTGGAAGGAAGTTGTCCAGCAGAAGTCGTTAAAATAAAATTCCAATGAAGGGTTACAGTATCACTACACTAACTTCCTAGATGAGTATCCAAGATCTCTGCGGACATCCTGATGTACTGGCTCTTCTGTATGCCCTCCAGAATCTTGAAAGAAGCAATAAAGCAACAGAAACACCTATTTCTCATAAAAAGAAACTTTTGCCTTTTCTAAGATGTTTCACTTGAGGCTAGGATCAGATGGAAAAGCAAGTTTCCTCCAAGTTGGGCAATCCTGATGTGCACAGGCACATGCTTGCCAGCATTACAGTTCACCTGCAGCAGCTCTGTCTTGGAGAAGGACAATGAAATGCCCTGTGTATTCCTCACTAGCCCTAAGAATACAGGGTAACAGCTAATGCACATCAGTTGTGCTCAGAGCACTTTAATAAAAGCTTCCCTGTCTAAGCCTTCCTTTGCAGGAATGATTAATGACCAACAGAGTGATTCCTGGCTTTTGTTTAAGTTCACACTTCTGAAGCAGTGGTTTTGTAAAGCTGGACTTGCTGATGCAGAACTGCTGCGTTGCAAGCAAAGTATGCTTTATAGCAATAAAACCAGAGAAACCACTGAAAAACTGGACACATCTTTGAAAAGGCTTTCCCTATGAAAAGGGCTTTATCAGTATTAGAAAGAGCTCTTGTGTTATGCCATAGATTCATCTCTTTCACCCGTGTCTTAAAGTTCAAGAAATTTGTACTACAACTGCTTCTCTTGGTCAGCTGGCAGTGTCAGATAGTATAAAGGAAATATCCGTAAAAGTTCCACAGCATGAAAATTCCATTAAAACTGCATACATTCCTTTTAGCAGCTTCCACTTCAGCAATTCAGTGCTTCAGCCATCCAGCAGTGTTCTTGTCAAGAGACACGGATTCACAGGCTTAAATTGCCCAGTGCCACTGTTAGGAATACACCTGCTGTTTCACAGCAGCAAGATGGCAACACCTTCAAGGTTCATGCTGCTGGCAGCAGATCCCATATTCACAGAAAGAGGATCAAATTTCCTGTTTCTGTTTTGGGAAGTACCTGCTGGCAGCAGATCCCATATTCACAGGAAGAGGATCAA